TTATAGGACTGTTGTCATTATAACATATGTTATAACAATTGTGATGAACACTCGTTGATGAGGTTTCCCTGGCGACCCAAATGATGAGGGCCAAAATGTCATTGAGCACTCATTTGATACAGCAACTACAAGAAATAAGGAATAGATAGCACATGTGGTGTTGGGTAACCACAAATGGGAAAAAAAAAAAGTTTAAAAATATATCTCTCATTAACATTTTTTTTTTTGTTTAGGCGAATTGGTTCTGTGTTCCTCTTTGCACACTACTCATCCACTGCAACCACACCCATCCCAGCTGTGTACTCTTTTTTTTCCACTCTCCCGTCAGATAAAACTCTTGTACTCCACACACTTTTAAAAGCTTAAACGACTTGCCAAACCTTACTATATTAGGCTTTTCCGATCCCTCCGGGAAGGGCAAAAATGTGATTATTCGGTTATATTTAGGGCACAAATTAAGTAGGGCAAAGGTCAAATCAGGTCAACAACAGAACATGAGAGGGATTTTTAAAGCTTTAGTCCAAAGTTTGCCCCAAGTGAAATTGCACTGTAGCGTAATGCGGTGTGATGTTTGCATATAGTATGTCCTCAATATGCAGAGGACACTCTGCCTCCACATTTCTCTAAACTACCTTGCAATGGAGTGTTTCGTGTTTGCCACGAGCCTCGGTGAGCAGTCAATGCTCTGTGCGGATGGATTTCCCACCTGTCAATCTCTGCCTTCCCTGCAGTGGGTGTGGCTTATGTTGTGAACGATCTCCAGCCTTTCCCCATTGGACTCGGCTGTGCAGAAGGGGTGTGTCTGAGCGTTTCCACTGGTTGACGTGGTGCAGTGCAGAAAGCCTTTTAGCAAGCTCCCTCTTCTCCAAGCACCCTCTCCCTTTCCCTTAAACTTGAAATTCTTGAGGACACAGCCTGATGGTAGCAGGGAAGCCAGTGTGTACACATCCTCAGGCACAAATGGTCTACATGACTGTGTGCAGGAAGATAAAACCCCACTTTTTTTTGTTTAACTTCCATGTGGTGGTTGTTAAGTTCAGATTTCACCAGTGGATTTGTTCAGCACAACTTATTTTAAGTTTGACCCTGCGGCAGAAGCTGTGAGAAACAAGACCACTGGCTGATGGATGATGTACACAGGAGGGTAAAATCCTTACACAAGGAAAAAAAAGAACTATTTAAGCCTATTGGTGAATAGCAATGTGGCAATTAAGCAGTGAACACTTTAATAAAATACAATGATCCACTGCTTATAAAATGACTGACTGCAGATATTAATGGTGGGTTCCAGTGTACACAGTTTTCTCCCACACACACCCACCTATCTTGCAGTCTCAATGCTAGACTGTCTCTTGTTTCTCTCTCTCTCACACTGCTTAGACATTCTGGCTCTAGTGTCTCCTTTCTTTTCTTTGTCACCCCTTCTTTCTCTCCGTGTCACCAGTTTTCTCCTCGACACCCTTCATTCAGTTTGAATTTCCAGCATTGTAAACGTACATTCAGTTCCTTATCCGTGACCCGCCCCCTATTCGGCGATAAGATTTTCAAGAGAACGAGCGGGCGACACCATATCAAGTGATCCATTAAGAAATGGGGATTGCCTTAGTGGAAACGTAAAACTGTCAGCGGTTAAGAACGCTGCGACCTTTTGTGTGCTTTACCTGGAAATGTTTCTGCTGTGGGGGAATATTTCAAGGAATTCAGCTAGGTCCTGAGCTGACGAACGGCAGCTCTTTTAAGCTGAAATATCGACCTGATGCTAACATGGAGAATTACTTTTACAGGTTAAAATGCGTGTGAGGCTCAAGTCTCCATTGGCTCCAGTTGTCCATCTGCATCACTTTCAGTACGGTAAGTGCTAACCAACGTCTTCTTGTGTACCAAGCTCAGACATCACAAGTCGTCTCTAATACAAGTGTTGATTTCTTGTTTTCCCTAAGTTGTCTCCTCACATCCTCCCTCTCAGCCCCACCTACAGGTGATGAGCTCATCTCTGTGGTTGCCTTAGTCACCTAACAACACGTCTGAGAAGCCGGCGGAAGCACAGCGGAGAGGAGGACCTGAACTGAGAAAACACTGGAACAAAGCACAGCGTAGATGCTGGTGATGTCAGTACTGTGCCAAGCTGAGCACGACAGGCCGTGATGACAGCAACAACCTCCATCCTCCAACCCGTGATGACTCATTCCAGTGTTTCACCAAGAGAATGGACAGCCATTATAGGACTCACAGTTTGATGTGGAAATGTGATGTGTGGTCAGGAAATGCATTCCCAATTAGTGTAAAAGAGAAAAAAAAAAAAAAGTGTGTTAAAAACCCACGACAGGTCTGCTAGTCTCTAAAAAACAGCAGCCGTAGATTGTGGAATACAAGCGTGAGCTAAAGACAAACACAAAAATGTGTGACCATAAATTGATGCTTGTGCACTCACATGCAGTTTATATTATTTCTATCCGGATGCATAAACCTGGAGGAAAAAAAACAAAACAAAACAAAAAAAACACAAGCAACGTGGGTTGATGGTTCACTGTTAACATACGGCTGTAAAAAAAATAAAATAAAAAATCAAGCAGACGCCCATCGAGCTACTAAGCGTACATTATGGCAATGACCCCTTTTAACACAAATTTCCCATCATTACACCCTCCAAACTGTCACTGTAAATTGAACAGGCTCTGATGTTATCGTGCTTCAGATTATTGTTTGAGTTAAACAAACTACAACAATCTGCCCGGGGTTAATGTGGAAACCTGTTGCTTACTTCAAATGCTGACAACAGCAGAAAAGAAAGTACATTTTAAAAGTACACATTATATATAGTACTGTGTAAAAGTCTTGATTCACCACATTTGCTTCAGAGGATTTTTGTTTGTTAAGAGATTTAACACTGATCTATGAATTCCAGTAGGCATCCAACTCAAGATATATGAACTATTGTGTGCAAACATAACAGACGACTTATCAAATAACCATTTTAATAGGTTTCTTTTGTTACTAGCAGCCTGTCACAAAAACATCATTCTGTCCTTTCTTTAGTTGAATTTACTTTTTTTTTTTTTTAAATATGCCAAAGATAGAAGTCTGAGAGGTGCAAAATAACATTTTTGCACCAACAAGATGATTCCCAAAGAGCTATTAGCCAAAAACCTGCATGTCTCTCCATGGCGTGTAGTGTTCTGTTGGAGGATAAAAGAAGTGGCAGGCCTAACATCCAGGGCAGCAAATGTAATACGTAATGAAATGCACAGATGCATCTGACGCTTCAGTTGAGCCATCTACTGTTTACTAAAGTCTCATCAGGAATGGTCTTAGTGAAAGGGTGGCTGTCAAGCAACCATACTTAAGGAAGGGAAGGTATGACAAATTACACAAGAGCTGGACTGGGAAGAGAAAAGCAATCCGAAAACCAAGAACAGTTCAATCTGATCAAATATGTTATCTAATCCTAATGTCATTCTCTGCCTTCAAGGAAGCTTAGACCCCTAAGGGAAAAAACAAACAAAAAACCCTCAAGCTGCCTGTCCACTTTCATTTATCGGAAAAACAAACAAACAAACAAACAAAAAAAAAAAAACATACAGAATTTCTCTCTTACAAAAACAGCAACAAAAAAAAAAAAAAAAACCCTGAACTGCTAGCTTTCTGCTCCATATTAGCTTATTTGCACTCTGACAATCTCACAAGATTGCTAGCATGATTGGCACATACAACATCTGTGCCAATCCTGATGACTGTCAACAATGAGATATCACGCGTCCTCTCTACAAGTCACATTTGACTAGACTGCGCTCAATTCATTGTCAGAATACAAAAACAATGTTGAAAGATTAAAAGCTAGTTTGGTTGCAGCGCGTGTGTAATTTTTTTATTTTATTTTAAATAAACAAAACACCAGCCTTGACTTTTCCCGCTGTTAACGCACCTTTTGGCTTTGCTTTGATTTGGAACAGCTTGTGTACAGGCTGTCGGGAGTGAATCAAACAGAAAGATCTTTTTGTTTTCATTCAGTTCCTCGGTTATAATTTGACACCAATTCTTGATGCTCTGATTTTTTTTCCCCCCTCGTTATTTGAATAACTGTGACAGACTGAGTCTTGTTCATTTTCCACCATCTGACTAGAGCAAACGAATAAAACGCCTCTAGGAACAAATAGAGCGGCTCACTTCCCAGCTGGATGTTTTGGCTGTGACATTCGAAGGGGTCACAGTACATTGAGAAAGACTGTTGAGGAAGCTAGGAAGGAGAGAATAAATAAAATCAGCTTTTAAACAAGAGCAGATTTGTTTTTATGCCAGTTCTTTAAAAACTATAGCAGCATAACGCTTTAATAAATAAACCCAATGATTGTCTGTTTGCTAAAATTCTCCACAGTGTTGTGATGGTGGACCGATGGCTGATGCATCGGACAAGGTAGGACACCGACATCTGTGCATTTCGCTAATCCCTAGAGCTATACTGAGAACACATCCCTTAAAAATAAATAAATTAAACTGTTTCTCACGGGATTAAACACATCTGCCAAACTGTAAAAACAAATCAGTAATGTTGTCCCATATACCTGACTTCAGATGGCAACAGGGATTTTACTGGCTTGTAACAGACTGTTTGTTGAGCAAATTTTCTGGTTTCTTATTAATTTTGGCAGCAACGCTCCCTACACCATTCTGCAATAAAGCAAATTACGATTAAAAAAAGAAAAGAGAAAAAACGAAATGTGATTGTGTACTTCTAATCCAGAAAAGAAGGTATCCGCTCTGATTATTCAGCTACCAATGAAAACGATCCGGCTGTCATTCCAAATTACATAACATCTTCTCTGATTTTGGCAGATCACAAGTGGAAAACCACGCGAAGAACAAAAACACGAGCCAAATGTCTCTTCACACAGAAAGAGCAAGGGTGCGTGGCTTAGTGAGCAGAGCCCAAGTTTATACCCAGAGGAATTGCTGGTAACGCGGCTGACAGGAGGGTTAACTGCACTGTGATCAAAATCACTTACATCTTTAACACAAGAGGGTGGGAGGGGAGGAATCGCTGTTGATCAGAGAAAGCCTAGAAACACAAAACATCAGGTCATCGTAGAGCTGAGGGAACAGCGTGAAATGAACAACACATTTTAAAAATTTACACCAGACAGACAATTGCGGGAATGTTTTCTTTTTTAACCAACTAGTTTTTTCACTTGTAGGGAGTGACCATGCCGACTATACGTGCACTTTTAATTATTATAGACAGTATTTGCAGTGTGGCTTTATATTTAATCTGCGCACTGATAATCAAACCACAAGTGCCACTGGCAGTTGCTGCAGACTGCTGTAACTGAATGTCACCATTAAATTTCCTTATTACAAACACCTCGGTCTGTTATTTGGTAAATAAGAACATTTAACAGTCACCCACATTAATGATTTTTCCCATGTGCTGCATGGAAAATAATAATGATGACTGCCCACATGAATGAAGCGCTAACAGAGCCAACGGCACTGCATTTTACTGCATAGCTGGTAAAGAAATTTAGTGCCAGACTGAGGTATCACCCAACTCTCCTAAAGCACCTCAAATGTTCATAATGAGTATTTATCCAGTAATAAAGATGACAGAGCCAGATCTGTATGCACTGTTATGTGTAAAAATAAATAAACAACGATTAATATAGGAAACATCCTAAATGTATAACTGGGCAATGTGTTAACATTTGTGTTTGGGCATTGTGTCACCTCAGTGTGTACACGCAGGTTGGTGGACAGAGAGCACTGACCCCAGCTGAGTGCTACAGAGGCTGCTCACAGTTTGGGCCACGGGCCTCATGACCAAACTTCATATTATTAATAAAAGAGAACCACGCCTGGCTTTTACAGCAGTTTCAGACCCACTGCAACAGCACTGCCTGCCTGCAGTAAGAACCGCGGTCTCGGGAGGGGAGGAGGCATCACCAGGGGTAACGTTACGCCTACATCGCAGAGACGCACGAATCAAAGTCTATAAACAACGTCGGACTCCAAAAGTTACACTCAAACCTCAGCACGCCTGAATGCGAGCTGGTGCACGCCGCTGGTAAGGAGTCCCAACGGTTGTTTCCTCTGGCCAGCCCGAAAACGTGACAGAGGGGCGCAGGGAGGGAAAAAAATACTCTCCCCAAATGTTCCCCCGCTCGCCATCGACGTAACAACATGTCGGCAAAGGACGGCCATGTTTTGCTGGTTATGTCGACACGGGGAGGAGGAAAAGTAGGCACGATGTTCCTCCCGTCTGCCTTCCCCCGCCACGGTCACACAACACACCGAACACACAACTTGAAACGCGGAGGAGGCGAAAACGTCCAATTAAGAAGTTGTCGGGAAACGTTGCGAGAGCACGCAGGTGGAAACGGCAGGGGCAGGCAAAGTTCACGCGGCCAGACAAGTTAAAATATTTATCCAGAGGCGCGTGGGTGTTTTGGGAACCACGCTAAGCCCGAACGAGCCGCGAGAGGGGCGCAAACAAACAACTACACGCAGTTTTAACTTGAGAGACTTTTCGAGGGGGGAGCCGTGGGGAGAAGGAGGGAGATGAGGGAGAAAAAAAAAACACGAAGAAGAGTTTCTCCATTTCTTACCTGCCCACCGTTTTGGCGCGACGCTCAGGTAGTGCGGTACAATCCCAGAGCCGCTGGAGAGCCGACAAACACGCCGAATCTGTTTCAAACACTCTCTCGGCGGCTCGATAACCGAGCAGACAACAGGCGACAGGAAAGAAAAAATTGGCGATCACAAGGAGGATCTACGCCAAAAGCCACATGATCGCCGACGTCAGAGTACGTATTTGCATGCCGTACCGAAGCGCCGGTGCCCGTCCACAGCGGGTCCATGGTGTTACGGCCGTGAAAAGTTTAACGGCAGGCCGGAGAGAGTGAAACAACTCTCCGGGAACACAACAGGAGTGCTAGTGTCTCCATGAAGCAGTCCCGCTGCTCCAAAAATGAATGAACCGCGTCTTCTTGCCGTCAAGTTTCCCCCTGTGCTGATGCCTGCCTCTCTGCTCGGAGCTAATTGAATATTTAAGAAGCTCAGGGGGTGGGCTTTTGCGGCCCTTAAAGTCCCGCCCCCCGCCTGTTACCACGCCCACTCCAGTATCTCCCTGTATGCAACGTGCATGTGATGTGAGGTGTGGGGCTGCTGCTGCAGTGCCTTCTCAGCTGGAGGCTGTCCTGCATTATGCAGACGGGAATCCTGTATTCACCTCTGCCTCTGCAACACGCTTACATCTGGATCCAAGAAGGTTACTCTGAGGTCAGCTCATACTCAGGAGTTTGTGTTGGTAAAATTCTGCCCTGAGGTGACACATGAGGACCAGCTCCCACACAACAGTGACCTCCACTGGATTCACTTTAGAACTGATATTGACCTTGGATTATCCATGCATGTGTCATTCATGTTTTCTAACTGCATACTGATGGATTCAGGAGAAATATTAAGAAGCTCTGATTCTCTCTGGTATTCACAAAAGTCAGTGTCAAGAAATGTTCGACAATCAGAGATCAGTGGAGGTTAGATAGGCCAGGGTTGGTTGTTACAGAGCAATGACCCTGGAGTTTTCATTGTTTGGCTTAGACACATGAGCAGGATTAAGCCACTGCGAAGCTTGTTGTTGATGTGGAGACACTGAAGAGGTTGATGAAGAATAGAATAGAATAGAATAGAATAGAATAGAATAGAATAGAATAGGCCTTTATTGTCATTGTACATGTACAACAAAATTGTGGGTGCTTCACACCAACTGTGCCGGAATAAAATATAAATAGTAGTAGACAGCAGGAATTAATAGCAAACAATACAAATATATACAAAACAAGAGAAATATATACAAAAACAATAGAAATGCACACATTAGAGAACAAGTTGCAAAGTGCTTGGAAGTAGTGCAAAGATAAAGACTTGGTCTGAATAGGAAAGTATCTGGGATTTTAAAAAAGTAACAAAAATATTTATAGATTTGGGATCTGTAAATGCAGGAGGACACTGAATTCATCCCATCCATCAGTCATCAATTCATTAATCCCAGCTGCCATAGGACGAGAGGCAGAGTACACCCAGGACAGGTCGCCAATCTGTAGCAGAGCTAACACATAGAGACAGACAACCATTCATAATCAAATTCATACCTATGGCCCAATTTAGAATCACCAGTTAACGTAACCCCACTGAATGCATGTGTTTGGACTGTGGGAGGAACCCGGAGGACCTGGAGAGAACCCATGCAGACACTGGGAGAACATCCAGACTCTACACTTAAAGACCCCGACCCCAGGGTGGATTTGAACCAACCCAGGACATTTTTGTTGTGCCACCATGCTGCCCCACACTAAATACAGATATTAAAAAATAATAATAATAACAGTGTAGAGAAACAGTTAGCAATTTAGAGGACAACTGCAAAAGGTCACTAAAAGTATCAGTGTGTTGTATACAATGCTACCACTTTTTTGTTGTCTTGGTTAATCCAGTGATGTTTGATCTGGTTTCCTTAGCTCTGTGCACATTGGGCATATTAATTAACTTGTTGCAGGAGAGCTACTTGTCTGTGGCTACTTATTTGATTGATGGTGTGGTATGCTGATAAGCTAATGGCTTCTATTCAGATTTCAGCCACAAATCATCTTAAATATTAAGGTCAGAAATACCAGCTAAATATAAAAATAGATAAATTGTTATTTATGCAGAAATGGCATGCATTGGATTATATAATTTAGGGCAGTATATGTCAGATATAACTTTTTTCAGTCCCTGATTTCCTGATTAGTCAAGTCATAAAGAGGAAAAACTTGATCAGCAGCTTGTTATTTGCATTTAGAGCAGATAATCTACAAACTCATCTGGCTAAATGAACGCAAATATTTAATCTGAAGGGCTGTCGTGTTTGGCCGTTGATTCAAGATTACAGCGCTGGTACTGACACCTCCAGAGGAAGTTCACAATCGTTAATATCAAGGTTTCAGATATGACTAAAAAACTTTAAAAAATAAGGACTTGAGTTTAATGATCAAACTGTCCGCACAGATCCTTTGCCACAAAACAGCCCCACTGTTTGAATGATGCTGGGATCACGCTAGTTCTTAAAGCTAAGTGCCTCTTCACCGGTGTCTTTCCTGCCTAATCTGTACCTACAGTGGTTTAGTTGAGCCTTGATATCGTTAAGGATTTTCTGCTGAAGTAGATGAAATTAATTGACCTGTCACAATATGTCTTGATCTCATGTGGCCCTTGGAGAAATACTGTAAAGCACCATGTTATCAAAATATAACAGGGAGAGGTTTTCTTGCCTACCTGTCAGCATTTTTTTAGAACAGGTCAGTGCAGTCAGATCTTCAACCAGTTGCATTTCTGTTGGGGGCATTTCACACACTCTTTGAATATTTAAAAATGTTTCATTTAGCAAACGAGTGTTTTGGGGTCAAATATATGCAGTGCAGTCTTAAGGCTTTAGTTTTAGTTCATCACGGACATTTTTCTTTATAAAATTAAACAAGAACAGAACAGACATTGACTAGGACAAGCCCACAAGTTCATTAAAGCTTCAGTTGTACACAACTATCTAGGGTCATTGTTAAGAAATACAGAGGTAAGAGCTGCTTACTTTGAGGAGGTTGAAGTCTTGTGCGTTTTTATTGTAGATAATGTCTGCTGAAACACTCGCCAAGGCTTGAGTGGGCCTTAAACTCTTTTTGATAAATGACTTAGCACAAAGGATAAGTAATTGAATTAGAAGACATCTGTTTCTTTGCTAAGAAGAAAGCTCATGCACATAAAATGAGAGTTAACTCACAAGATGTGTTGTGTAACAAAAAAAACAAAAACAAAAAAACGCAATTACATGAAGTTCTCCTGCATGCTGAGCCAGTGGCAAAGTTTTCATAGAAACCTTTGTGTATTCAACACTTTAGATAAGTTCCCTTTAAAAGTGTGGGTAAAATGTGCGTCTCTAACTGTGGTACCGTACTACACTGAGTTTGCTGCACTTTCATTTGAAGATCTCACTTCCTTCTTTGCTGTAAAATGCTAGCTGAGATGCATATTTATGGTTACATTTTAAGCCTTCCAGCATGATATCTGTCAAGCAGAACAGTTCTAATTCTGTGCAAGTTAAATGCATTTTAAATATATAAAATAGAGGTTTATTTATTAAAATAATTGATCATTAAGCAAAATATGCTTGGCACTGTATACCAGCTGAGCAAATTTCATTTGACCAGATTTGATGAGATTTAATGTTTTACATTGTGCTTAGGGAACAAATTTACATGGAAATATTTCAAGTGATCAGACTGCTTAAAATCAAAATTTTAGGCATATATATATATTTTTTTATTATTTCATCCAAAAGATCTTTTTTTATGCTAATGCACACTGGCAGCTGTATGAAAGGGAATCAGGTATGACAAACTTTATTACGAGAAACTTGTTAGAAATATTTTCATCTTCATTTTTTCTGTGTTTTTAATGGTAGAAACAGATGTGCATCAGGACTTGTGTGCAGATCAGAAAATCATTACTCTTCCCAAGATAATCGTGATAGATAAAAATGGTCACTAGATGGTGCCAAATAACTGTAGCATCACGCCTGACTGGCATCGAGCTGTTGTGTTTGCATGTGCACACTGTGAAGACTGGAGGTGCTGCCAGCTAAACAGTGACGTTAACTGTCATTTATATTTTTAAATAAAGATGTCTTTAACATGTTAGTCAGCCAGTATATTTGCGGCCTCAAAGACAACTCCAAATATGACGAACATTTTTAACTTATTACTTATACCTTTACTTATTCCTGATTCTGACAAGATTAATATCACTGCAGGAACTATAGAGTTGAAAAGAGCTGGGAGAGGTTCAAAGACTGAGAAAGAAAGAGGGAGATGCATTCAAGGAAAGCTGATTTAATAATGATATAGTATTCTGACAGGGCGGTTTGTTGAAATGAAAGTGTCAGCATGTGGTATGTGCACGGAAGCTTGCTCATAGTGATTATGTAACATGGAAAAATCTCTCTTGTGTAGATTCATATATGTAGAGTGATGCTTAAGTTTCAAACAGTGTTTATCTGCTGGATTTTAATTTGTTAGACATTTGATTTTTGACTAATACAAATAATAATAAAGCTAGCCTATGTGAGTTTTCTAAGTTAATTTTTCCTTTGTAACCAACAGGCTTATTAAAAAGAACACATCAACAGAACAGAAACATTTGTCAGTCTTCAGGCTTTGCTAAAAAAAAAACACACAAATGTTTCCTGACCAGCTATTGGTAGCTTCCTCTTACACAGCCTAGGGCTAGTGCATGGAGTGACAAGATGATGTGTTCAGACCCAGACGCCTAAGCATTAAAAATCTATATCACAAAGGTCTTAAGACCTTAAAATTGACACAGATTGAACTTGCTTTGGTGGATTCTCCAGCTTAGCATGTTGGAAAAACTGCTGAAACAACAATTAAGTTTAAAAATGGTTATTTTCTCTGAGTTTGCCTCCGGTCCAAGTGAAACGTAATATAGAAGGCTGCAGATTGTCATATGGCATACCATTTTACCATCCTCATGCCAGGACACATACAATTTTGACCACTTCTAACACACGTGGTAAGTCTCAGTTTTCCCACTCTGTCATCCCCTCAAATATGTGATCCATTCACAACAGCACCACCAGTGCCACCTCACTAATGTTTTTATCTTTATTATTATTAATTTGTTAGTACCAATAAGTGCTTGGGTTCTTTTGGCTTCCAGAAATAATATAAGCTTGGCCTTTTGGACCTGTTATGCTAAGTTCTTTCTCAACTTTTTTTATTCTTGACTACAAGAGAAGCTTTACATGATCCACGGCTCAAAATAACCCCTATTTATCTTATCTTAGACTGCAGTGCTGCCCCAGAGTTCATCAGCTGTCCTAAACAACTCTGCTCCTCCCTTTAAGCAAACCTTCTTCTGATTGGCTGTCTCTTATAAACACAAGGTATAAACAGCAGCTGGGTAGCTGTTCTATGATCACAGCTTGAGCTGTGTGCTTGGGATACTGGC